AGCCAATCAGATGCTCCTGAACTCAGGAGCAAGTGATGGGAATATATGGGGACCTCGAGGAACTCTCTCTGTGGTTTGGTTGTAATAAGCTTGAGCTTTTGGGCCAACAGAGACAGCAATACCAATGTAGGTCCAGTGCTCAGGGCCCGCAGTAACGGTCAGACACATGGTAACATCAAGCACTCAGATGAGGGGTAATTGGTATTCTCACCAGACCACTTCTGGTGTGATTTGGGGCACTGTTTGTGGTAATAAAAAAATCTTTAGAAATTGATTAAACTCTTAAGAACATATTGCTCAATAAATTCTCAATGTTAACAAAAATGTTTTACAATCAACAAAACTAAAAGGCAACCTATGGAATGGGAGAAGATATTTACAAATGACATATCTGATAAAGGGTTAGTATCCAAAGTATATAAAGAACTTATACAACTCAACCCCCAAAACCAAATAATCCAATTTAAAAACAGAAGACATGAACAGAAATTTTTCCAAAGAAGACACCCAGATGGCCAACAGACACATGAAAAGATGTTCAACATCACTCATCATCAGGGAAATGCAAATCAAAAGTACAATGAGATATCACCTCACACCTGTCTGAATGGAGAAAATCAAAAACACAAGAAACAACAGGTATTGGTGAGGATGTGGAGAAAAAGGAACTCTTGTGCACTGTTGGTAGGTAGGCAAACTGGTACAACCACTTGTGGAAAACAGTATGAAGATTCCTCAAAAAGTTAAGAATAGAACTATCCTAAATACTAAATACTTTGTAAGTAGTAACTCATGAAACAATGAATTTAATAACAATGTATTATTAGTATATGTATTTTAAAGATAAGAAAACTGAGTCACAGAGAACTTAAATACTTTCCAGGTTACTTCACCAGTAAGTAGTGGGAGAGCAGGGATACAAATGCAAGGTCAGGGAGTGGGACTAACAGTTCCAACCTCTAATCACAATTGGTTCTCTTGGCAACCAGCCCCGGCTTAAGTGTGGTCCAAAACTTAGCTCAGTAACATAACAAAAGACACCTCTATCTTATCACTGAGGAAATCCTGAGGGTTTTAGGAGCTCTGCGCCAGAAACAAGGACAAAGACTAAATATATATTTATTATAAATCACAATGTCAGAGGATTTCACTTTAATCTGAAGCTGTGATTACCTCCTGGTCATTTTGGGCTTCTTATGCCTGGCAAACAGTAGACCAAAAAAAAAAGTTTCCATATTAGCAGCACTAATGTAATGACCTTCATTACAAGGAGCTAGGGTTGCTGCTACAGAATGGGGGCCTAAAGGGATATGTCTGGAGCCCAGGGGAGTCACTTTTGCTTCTTGGTGCTTCCATGTCCGGTGATGAATGTAAATAGGCAATTGCTGCAACAAAGGCCTAATGATACAAGAGTAACTAGGGTTCCCGCCTTGAAGATAAAGGTCCTGGTGACTCCATCAGGCAAGCATTCTAGACCTTCTAAAGTGATGGCCAAGGAAGGAAAACCTAGAAAGCATGATGGGGCGAAATGATGAATCTATTACAGCTTCAGACCAGTTTCAACAGTGTGGGACTGAAGCTTGTTCCACTAACCCTCCTATACTGAGATTGTACCTAGTCACCTCCCCGAATGACGTTGCAGATTAACGTGTGCACAGATCCAAGCAGAACATGGAGTGGATGAGGAAATCGTCTACCTCTTGTGCCTGTATCACTTCCTCTTGGCCAATCTTTTTACTCCAATTGCTGCTGCAGCTCTGAGCTCCTGCAGGTGTGACCTGACAATATGCCACCTCAGCTGTACAGTACATCACTTCCTTTCTGCCCTCAGCTTCCTTCCCCTTCCATGTGAGAAGCCCTTAAGAACCCTCAGCCATTCTGAGGCTCACCCATACCTGAAGTGAAAGAGAATTAACTGCGTGAGGCAACTCGTGACCAACTAGGGGAGAAGCTAGTGGATACTTGTTTTTTCCTTGTCTGCAGGGAGTATTATGTGTACACTCCACAGGGCTCCTCAGAAGGTCCCTAGTGGAAGTGAGCCAGCTACTCTGAGGCAACAGGCCAATAGCACACACTTGTGGGCTGTCCCTCTAGCCCTGTTCCACTCTTACCAGTCTGCCACTTGTTCTTTCGGATCACTCCCTAATATAAACCACCTGCACACAAGCTTGTCTCTCAGGCTCTGAATTTCAGGGTATCCCAGACTCGTACAAGAACCAGAGAATACTTGTGAGTATGCTCTGAAAGTTAAAATCAACGTAATAACGTAAATCAGCCCTAAAGAGCATGTTCTCCCTCTAGTACCTTACTCCGCCTACTGTTTCAAGACTGAACCGTAGAGCACGTAGCTTTATTTTATTGAGCAATACTGGTATCTCATTTTCATCTTCATGACCTTATGAGGAAGTGGGCAGAGATGGGGAAACAGGAGGCCTTGTATTCCAACTGTTAAGCTTGAGCTAGGATTCTGATTCCAATTTAACCTCCAAAGCCCATGTGCTAAACCGTTTTACTTCCGTTCAATGTGGCCTCTTCTGTCTTCTCACCCCACAGTGGCCCCATATCTCACCATACCCAACACACCTTGCCTTCTCATGATTCCATTTTGCCCTGTTAGCCCTGTGATCTTCAGAGCCTAGATCAATGCCATCTCCCTAGACAGAATTGCTTCTCCATCACTTTCCTGAATCCCTATTCTATTTTTTACCACACTATTGTTACTGTTCTGTTGCATTTTCCACTGGGGCTGGAGCCAGACAAAAGTTTAGGTATTAAGTAGTACTAGATATGAGCTCTCAAATATCACTGAATAAATAGTTGTCAGAGTGTGTACTCCTTAAGTACAGGGCCTAAGTTTGTTTTATTGACTGCTGTAGTCTGGGCACAGAGCACAGTACCTGGCTCATAGTAGACGCTTATTTATTTAATGACTAAATGAATGAACATGAATCTGTTTCTTCATGAAACTGTGAACTCTTACATTGTATTATCCAGCAAATGTTTGTTGAATCAGGGTAATATTAAGAAAGAGAAAGTATTTAATGATTAATAGAAGCTTTATTTAAACAATAATATATAGAGTTATCATTGCCAGACTTAATATGAAATGTTCAATGTTCGATCCAATTTTCCTTCCTGGATAAGTTTTTCTTTCCTATCCTGCAGATAGAAAAAACAAGAAACAAACAAAATAAAACAAAACAAAAAAACAAAAAAAAGCTTCATTAGAAACAACACATTTCTGACCTGTGTTCATTGCAACATTATTTACAATAGCCAAGACACAGAAAAACCTGTGTCCATCAATGGATGAGTGGATAAAGACATGGTATATGTATACAATGGAACACTATTCAGCCATTTAAAAAAAAAAAAAAAAGGAATGAAATCTTGCCATTTCGTAAGTACAATCTTATAAAGAGAACAGACTGGTAGCTGACACAGGCAGGGGGTAGGTGGGGGGCAAAATGGGTGAAGGGGGTCAAAAGGTACAAATTTCCAAATATAAAATAAGTAAGTCATGGGGATGTAATGTAAACATGGTGACTACAGTTAATAACACCGTATGGAATATCTGAATGTTGCTAGGAGAATTAATCTTTAAGTTCTCATTACAAGAAAAAAGACTGTCTTTTGTAACGATGTTAACAGATGTTAACTAAGATTTACTGTGGTGACCATTTTGCAAAATATACAAACAAAAAAGGTACTGGAAAACACAATGTATTTTGGCATAACCCATGGTACAATCTGAAAAACAGGACTAAAATACTCCAAACCTAATTCCAATCCCCCGTTGTCTAAAGCCTAAAGAGTACATGTGAGGAAGCAGCAGTCTGAAGAAATAAGGGACAATGAGAAAACACTCCTTTTTAAAAACATCTTATGTACATGTTGGAAGAATTATATTACCCCACTAAAAAGTGTATGTCAAAAGCAAAATGCAAACACCTTCTGGATTAAGTGTGGCCTATCTTTTTGTTAAGCAGGTAATTTATCAGACAATCAAAATACAGAAGCTAGATGAGTGGGCTCCAGTCTAGATGGCAACACAAGGCCTGCTGGTGGTCTAGTACCAGGGTGGCCTAGTGTCAAAGATAAACTGGATTTCTCTGTGACCATATGGCCTCTGATGGCAGATTCGCACCACAGGCTGCTTTTGCTTTCCTACTGTTAGCATATTACAAAGTTTTAACATTAATCCACAAAATGTGACCAACATAACTAGAATTCATATAAGCAGGGAACACACTAAATGATTTATGTATTCTGCTAATACTTAACCCAAATAAACATCTTTTTAAAAATAATGAACTAAGAAAACTAAATATAAAGGTTTGCAAAGATAATATCGAAAGGCAAATCAAAATAGGAAAGTTTAACTTCTATATTTTTCTTTTGAGAGAGAGAATGCACACGCATGCGGGGGAGGGGCAGAGGAAGAGGGAGAGAATCTTAAGCAGGCTCCGGCCCAGCGTGGAGCCAGATGTGGGACTCAATCTCACAACCCTGAGTTCATGATCTGAGCCGAAATCCAGAGTCCAACACCCAACCGACTGAGCCACCCAAGAGCCCTTAGCGTTAACTTTTTAAAGTTATTTCTGTAGTCTCTTAATATTCACAGCACAATTCCTTTACATCACCTAAAACACACAGGAAAACTCTTTCAGTCTAAGTTCAAGCCTTAGAAATTTAAACTGACCAACTTATTAAATTCTAGAGCGGCCACTAAATTAAATTTGAAAGACTCAGAGACTATTGTGATTTTTGGCAAAGTATATTTCAATATGAGTTGAAACGATAAAGCAATAAAACCAAACATGTAATTGAAACTTTCTGTTTTAACTCCTGCTGGAAAGGAATAAAGATAAAAGGAGAGAGAAACTGAAGGAAGAGTAGAGGACCAAGGTGGGAGGAGCACTGGTAGCAAATGCCAAGAGAAAGACCTGCATCCAGCACAGGGGAACCTATCACATAGAAACTACACATCAGGTACTTACTCTGTCAGTTTTGAAAACATAAAACCAGAAGAAGAGGGGCCCAATTCCAAACAGAGCTCCTAAGAGCGAGGTCTTGGGAGTGGGTCTGAAATTGGGATAGATGTTTGCTGATCTTGCATAGGTCCAACGAATCAAGGCAGGATCTTCCTAAAATTCAGGAAAACAAAAAGTTATAGGAACTTAAGCAGGGCCACACTGAAACAATCTCATCAAAACTTTTGTAGGGGAGCAGAGGAGATGCCTTTTGTGCTCCACCATAGTTGAGGGTACACCCTGACTATTGCTTCAGGGAAGATCTTTCATTTCTAGTATTTGTTGAGTAACTCTCTGATGATCCTATCCTGTTCAAGTCCTTCAGAATTTAAAAGATTCTTGTATCACCCTTCAGCTTTCTATTTACTTAAGATTTAAGAAACCTATTCTTTTTAATCCACCAGAGAAGCCACTTTTTCTCTTTGATAATTTTTTTTTCTTTTCGGGATTGTTTTGTAGTTTCATTGTCTTTCTTGAATTACGACCAACTAAACCACAGTATTCCCAATGAGAACAGATTTCATATGCTCTATCATGCTTTGTACTTTGTTTCCAGGACCCTTTCTAATGCTACCCCCCGACCCTGCTCTATCTTTCCAGGCTTCAAATAAATTGCAGGAAGGTGAAGAGTAAAATAGGCCAACTCTGAAGTTTAACATTTTTAAGCTGACTTGGCTGATATTTTTTTATAAGCAAAATTATTACATTTTACACTATTAAAATAATTTGTAGTGAGGACAAGGTTGTTGTTAAAGAAAAATAATCAGACTGTCTTGGTTAAGAAAAAATATTGTCCATTTTAATATATTTATACTAGAACAACTATGTAAGACAGCAAATCTGCCCCAAACACATAATTAAATTTAATTAGCTAAATCCCCAAATGATTTTATAAAATTATTTGCTCTAATTAACTGATATGCAGATTAAAAATAAGCAGATGAAATCAGCTTTAAAACTTTAATACCAAAGGAGAACATTCAAGGTCCTATACACCACCAAGAAGTCATGATGGATAGGATTAAAATAATTAAACTGGATCTTTCACAGATCCATTTTAAACCAAACTGTTTGCAGAAAACAGTAAAGGTGAAGACACAAGATATAATAGGTTTAAGGGGATGTTTGAGTTCAATACCTAAAAGGATAAACACATCTATTCTTTATCTATCCCTTCTGCTATTAACATATTTGAATTCTCCCAGGACAGAATTCTCAATCTACCAGTCACCTCTCTACATATTTATCTGTCAGATCGGTCTTCCAGAAACAGACATTTCATTTCATAAAAATATCAACAGCCCCATGGCCACAGTTCATTGAACCTGTACTGCTGTTAAGAGAGGTTCCAAAACACACTCCATGGGAGACAGTTCTCCTTCTTGGACACCACTCCATGTCCAAAGAACAATCAGCAGGATCTGCATGGTGAACACTCCTTGAAACTGTTTCTTCTTTTGGCTTTCAGGGCACACACCTGCCTGGTTTTCCTCCTAACTCTATGGCCATTCCCTCTTGGTCTCTTTTGCTCTCTTCTTCCGTATCTCTCCAATCTCTTAATATTGGAGCTTAGACTTCACTGGTCTTCTCTATCTACATTCATTCTCTTGATGATCTATCTCCTCCAGTCACATGGTTTTAAATATCCCATCTATAGGCCGATGACTCCCAAAATTATACCTTCCCAGACCTCTACCCTGAACTCCAGACATAATGTCCAACTACCTGCTCAACACTGTCATGTTGTCTAACAAGAACGTCAAATGTGATGTATCTCAAACTGATTTCCCAATATTCCACTCCCTGCTCTTCTCACATTCTTCTCCATCTTGGTAAAAAGCAACTTCATTCTTCTGATCACTTAGGTCAAAAAACCTTGGAATCATCCTTGACCCTTCTCTCTCTTACACCTCACATCCAATCTGCTAGCAAATCTGGCTGGCTTTACTTTCAATATATACTCAGAACTCACCACTTCTTAACCATCTCCACTGCCAAAATCCTGAAAGATTACCTCAAAAGCCTCCTAGTCTCCTTGCTCTCCTTCATAGTGTATTTTCAACTAAGCAACCAGAGAGATGTTAAAATGTAGGGCAGATTACCTACTCAGTAAAAGTCCTTACAACGATTTACAAAGCTTGGTGTGATCTAGTTCCAGGTACTTTTCTGACCTCATCTCTTCCCACTTTGCTCTAAATTTCTCCACTTTAGTCATAATGGTCGCTTCAGTATTTTTGCAACTCACCAGGCACACTTCTGCCTAAGGACCCCTACATCTGCTGTTCCCTCTACCTAAAATGCTACTTTCGCAGAGAGCTGTGTGGCTAGCTCCCTCACCTTACTTCCTTCATGTCACCTTCCAAGGAAGGCCTTCCCTAGGGCTATCTAAAATTTCAGCTCCTACTATATAACACATATCCCTTATCCCTTCCTTGCTTTATTTTTCTTATCCCTTGCCACTAACATGCTAAACAATTTAGTTTTTTAACCTGTTTATTACTTGTCTGCCCCACTGGAAAGAAAGCTCTGCAAGGACAGGAATCTATAGTCACCTCAGCATCTAAAACAGAGCGGGGCCTATAAAAGCAATTCACTGAATCAATCATTGGTAAAGATTAGGCAAAGAATTTCCATGTATTGATCATTAAATGATTAAGTGCCAAGCACTCATTTAATTAACAGAACCACCAATGAGGCAGGTATTACTGTCTCTTACATGACAAAATTGAAACTGTCCTAGGGCACAGAACTAGAAAAGAGAAAATCCGGAGTTTAAACTTCAGCCATCTGGCACATCAAACCCTGTGTATGTAAATAACAAATGTCTCCCTCCACACCTTCTTCTCAAGTAAACAAGGTTCTGACATCAAGCCAACTGGTTAGGCAGATGTTTTGGGTTACACAGTTCAAGGTTTAAATTCTGCTCTATCACTTGCTAAGGGAGTATCACTCTATGACCTATTTGTCCTTCCCATATTGTTTTCTCATCTGTAAAATGGGTATAATAACAGGGCCTAACTCTTTGAATACTTGTGACATTTGAATAATAATATTCAGAAAGGGTTTAGATAGTGCCTGCACAATGTAAACTTCCTTCAATTCTCATAACTTCCAAAAAGTCCTACAGAACACCAATGCAACTGCTGGGGCAAGTTTTGGTTGCTTTGTTTTTAATATCATATTTGATATCATATTTAAACAGCTTTTGTACAGAAAATTATTGAAAAGCCCACTCACTGAATAATAATAGCAATGAATCTACTGGTTATATGTTAAGTGCCTGCAATGTTATACAAACTATCTCATTTAACCTTACAATGATTCTATAAAGAATGTACTACCTTTCGCATTTAAGATCAGAAAACTAACGTTTAGAGGGGTTAGGCAAACTAAGGTCATCTAGTTTGCCATTATGTTCTGCCTTGGCTTCTGACTTCAAAGACCAGAGTTTCAACTAGCTGCAGAGTTCTGGGGTATTCAAAAGATATAAACTGAAAAACATCATTATATTCCCATCAGGAGAGAGCAGTATTGCTATGAACTGTGAACCGAAAGGTGGAAAACTGCTTTTTAAAAAAATGACACAACACGTTTCCTGAACACTCATTACAGCCCAGGCACCGTGTTGGCCAGTCCTGTGCCTTATCTCATTTAATCCTAACATGTATTAACCCCGTTTTTCAGACAGGAAAATCGGGGATAACCAGCAGAGCTGAGTCACTTTCTCAAGATTACCCAGGTGGGAAGTGATCAAGCCGGGACTCAAACCCAGCCCGGTGTGCACTCAGAACCGTCCTCTTGACCACCAAGCTCTCCGCCCAAGGTCAAAGGGCTAGTGGGTGCGCCTGCTCTCTCGGCCTGGAAGAGGGCCAAAGTCTAAAATACTGATCGGGAACGGTGGCCGCCCCTCTGCGTGGCCTCCCTTGGCCGGTCGGGCTGCCCGGCCGGGGATGGGGGCCCGCCCGGACTCAGGCCCTCGATTCCCGCCCGGCCGGCCCACGACTCACGATGAGCCCTTGGCGGCTGGGGTCGTTGTACTGAAGCAGATACTCCCGTTTAAGCCGGGATCTTATGGCCAACCGCTCGGCTTCCGCCTTCCGGGCTTCCGGAGATACGTTGTATTCGGCTGGGTCGAGGGTAGAGGGTAGGGTAGCCAGACGCGACGGCTCGTACTTGGGGAACGACATCTTGGCAACCCGGGACACAATTGCGCCTGCGCGACTCCGAGGCCCGCCCCCCTCCCTCCCCCCCCTCCCCCCCTTCTTCCGGCCTTCATCCTGAGGAAGTGCGCTTGCGCGTTAGCGGAAGGTAGGCAATAAGAATTTGCCCAGGAGCTCCGCTTCTTTCCTCAACCTTCCTCACCGTCCTGGGCCCCCGAATAGCGATCTGCGCATGCACAGTGTGCTTTCCTTAACCTTTCGCCCCCGCCCCGCTTCCTACTTTTAGCTACCCACAATCTATTGCTTGTTGCTTCTTCCTAGCAGCCTTACATATTTCTAGGGACATAGCAGAGCTTTATTTTGTGAAGTTGAGCTGTGTGAGACTGGCAGACACAGGAAATGGGACTGGCTGTAGCTAGAATCCTGTTTCAGTGTGAGTCCCTCCAAGGTGTGTGACTTTAGACAAGTCATTTAACGTCTCTGAGTTTCCTCTTGCTCATTCTGGATAATGACCCCTATTCTGTCCACCTACCAAACCTTTAGTGAAGATTAAGTAAGATAATAAATAGGTGCCAAAGTGCTTTGCAAAACACAGTGCCCGAACCAAGAAAAAGCATAAGCTTTTCTGTACGTTACCACATTAGATTGGTACAGCGTAAGTAGCGGCGTGTTTTTCATAGGCACGAAATAATGTTTAATAGGAGAATGATTTTTTTAAAGATTTTATTTATTTATTTGACAGAGACACAACGAGAGAGGAAACACAAGCAGGGGGAGTGGGAGAGGGAGAAGCAGGCTTCCCACGGAGCAGGGAGCCCGATGCAGGGCTCGATCCCAGGACCCTGGGATCATGATCCCAGCGGAAGGCAGACGCTTCAAGACAGAGCCACCCAGGTGCCCCGGAAAATGACGTTATAAGAGAAATGTTGCCTACCTGACTGTAGTAAGTTATTAACAAATGAAGTACTGAATAAAGCTCCTGAAGAAACAGTATTTAATTAAAATACTAATAATACCTCTTACCTAAAATCCTTAGCACTCTTGGGTGCTAAGAAGGAAAATCATCCTTAGTTGATACTCTTATGCATAGGGGCATTGTATCTTAATGTGAAAGATGATTTGGGGGGACAAAAGGGGGGCTACCGGAAAAAAAACCTTCATGCCTACTGTCCTTCTCTCCCACTATCACGAAGGGGGAAGAAGCAACTTCAAGTTGAACGGCAGGGTCTGTGGGTACCAGTAAGACACTCCTCAGGAGGAAACATGTAAACAGTATTTCCATAACTCAGGCAAGGAAAGCTGGATCAAAAGAGAGCTTCAGGGGCGCCTGGGTGGCTCAGTTGGTTAAGCGACTGCCTTCGGCTCAGGTCATGATCCTGGAGTCCCGGGATCGAGTCCCGCATCGGGCTCCCTGCTCGGCGGGGAGTCTGCTTCTCCCTCTGACCCTCCTCCCTCTCATTCTCTCTGTCTCAAATAAATAAATAAAATCTTTAAAAAAAAAAAAAAAAAAAAAAAAAAGAGAGCTTCAGCTTGGATGCAATGTCTGGGGACATAGAGGTATGTTGGGAAATGGTTGCTAGGCAGAGAAAGGACCTAGAAAGTGCTGGCATTTGAAGTGATGAGCAGCACTGCTGTCAAATTTATTCAACGTTGTAATACTGTTTTTAAAATATTTATTAAGCACCCGCTGGGTGAAGCATTCTGCACACTAGTCAATCTTAGTCAATCTCCTAGGCTCAGTGGGGGAAATGCAGAAGAAATGAAGGACGTGGTATTTGTCTTTGAGGAGCTGACAGTACAGGCAGTACAGAAAGAACAGACAAGATATGGTAATATTTGCAAAGCAGTTTAATGTCCAAATGAATATAGAGCAAAATGGGCTCATGAGAATGCAGGCTGAGGGAATGTAGAAAAAAGAAATTTGAAACATATCACTTACACTCAATTTTAAAGAAGGAGAAAAAAAAGTTCTGGTTTTTTTCAAAGGTGTTTTAAAATACCATAAAACAAAATGAAATGCAGGAGCAGGTTGTAAATTCTAAAGACAATCTTGATAAAGTTTCAAAAACCTTTTGTTTACAGATTAGACACTGATCTGGGAAGAAGGGCATGCAAAAAGGATAAAAGAAAGAAGAAAGGAGTGCAACGACTACAGATGACAAAGTTTTAAAAAGAGTTGGTAAAGTGAAGAGAGAGGGAGAGAAAGAGAGAGAATGACGAGAGAATAAACTACATCATTTCCCTTTGGATTAGTTAAGGTGTTTGTTCCCACATTTGCTTGATTATCATAAGGATCCCTTAAGATGATTTTGTCAAAAAGATGGAGTCCTAAGTTCTGTTCTGCTCTTGAAGATTCAGAACTGATCTGGCAGGGGCACCCAAAAGACTAATTTTTAGTTTCCTGAAGGGATTCTTCTACTATTGTGTGTTTGGGAAACATAGAGATGACTACAAGAGGTCTTCCTTTCCCTCTTCCTTTTTCCAGGAAAGGTCCTCCCAGAGTGAATCTATGTAAGAGGGAGACCTAGATTCCATAATGAAAGAAAAAGACTTGATTGAGACTTTATCTTGAAATAATGCAATCAAAAAATTATGAAAATGAATTTATCTTATATTTAACGTTTAAGGTTAAAGTTACAATGTTGTGCTAATTCTGATAAATCAAGTGTTAATTTGTGGACATGGTTATTTTCATATAGCTCATTATCCTTCACTTTGCATTTGATTTCTGCAGCAGGGTCATATTTGCAGAAATGTTGGAGGGCTTTATCCAGTTTTTCCAAGGTCCTTTCTTAATCCTTTGAAACTAAATTGTTTCCTTTTGAAGCATTGATGTCATCATCATTCTTATTGGTTGTCTTTTTTTCCTTTGTTATCTGGTCCAACTCTGAGCTCCTCCTTTATTAGTCACTTTGTATGTGGATCCAGCAGTTCACCAACATCACTTTCATCAATTTTATGGAAGTCCACATCTTTTGCAAGATTTGCGATAAATTTCTATTGTTTTTGAGGACTAGATATTTCCAAAAGGACGACTAAGACTTTGATAGGAGTGGATGTAGGCATTAGGGTTAGCAGATGGAACAATTTAAGTGGGAAACAATTTCACAAGTGGTCATTTCACCAAAGAACGTTTCATGTTTTGAAGACTTTTACTTTTCTTAATAGAATTTGTCAGAATTTATTGGGACATGGATTACAAGGACTAAGTGTATGTATTTGACTGTATTTGTGTTTGTATTTAACCTGTATTTGACTGGAAGAGGGAGGATAAAGTGGTAAAGTGGAGAAGGAGAGAAATGCAAATATGCCAGCATAGTCAGGTTATAAGAATGGGACAGGATTTCAGGGAACAGAAGATGGACAGGTGAATACAGAAACTAAGAGGCAGGTAAGTTCCTGCTTATGAAGAGCATTCCTTCTCTTAATTGGGTAGGATCATAGGTAAATTTGTGAATAAACCCAATGCCCAGAGATTTAACTAATCAGTGAATAACAGTAGCTGACATTTAGTGAGCATTTTCCTTTATTCTTGTTTTTAAAAATCTTAACATTGAATATCAGCAAAGGATATGCTGTCAAACTAATGCAGGGTCCCTTCCTTACATGAGCCCTCTTAAGAACCCTGGGAAGGGCCCTAGAAATGTGCTCACATGGCCATTCTGTTTTTGTAAAATTAGAAAAAGTAAGATACTTAAATCACAGTTGCCTAAGACTGTTGTGTCTCTCCTCTCTGACTTCCTTCCCTTCTATCACATTTTCCCTCCTGTTAGGTGGATCACAGTGGCCTGAGGCATTTGGGGGATCCAGCAAATGAAAATTTGAATTTAGTGGGATATATTTATTTGATTCACATCAATTTCAAGTGGAATTAAATTACTGCTAGCCATCCAGGTGCAGGATTGGCTTCCAGGGTTATTGTCAACTCCCAGTGTGCCATGAAGGTGCAGGATCAGAGTTTGTGTTTTGATATGAACTTGTCCTGTGAATCTTGGCCCTGGAAATACACAGGTAAAGGAGGAGAAATAAGGTTTAAAATATACAGAACCAGAAGCTAATCTGTGGGAGATTCTTCCAGTCATCACTGGCATTTTTTCTTAAAGAAGCACCTCCTTCCCACCCCCACCCCCAGCTCACCCCACCCCCCAAATTATGTAGGCTTCAAGTCCCATCAAACCCTGATCTTCCTGTTTATCAATCTTGTTAAGACTGCAAGGAAGAGACACAAAGTGCTATGTGAATTAATTTAATTGCAAGGAGATCTAAAAACACGGGGTAGATAGGAAAGTCATCTCTCATTTGGTTATGTAGCCACCCTGAGGATTTATCTTCCAAAATTGAAATAAACAGCAGTTCCAAGGGAGAATAAGAACAATATTTTAGAGCTTCAGTGTCCCACCTAAGCTCAAGTAAACCACTTTCTCTTTGTTTACCTAGCCTTTACTATTCCTCCAAAAGAGGGTATTATTGAGTCAGTTTGACAGTATTCAATCTAGATTTCCTGAAAGCACCACATGGGAGATTGGCTTTCACTGTATCCAACTTATCTGCAGCTTTGTTGATCTGGACATTGTCCAAATCAGTCACGAATAAGATTACACGACTGTTTTTACCCAACAGATGCACTTAAGTCACAGAAGCTTATCATATTTAGAGACGACTCACATAGAACTACTTGCTTCCGAAGTGGTATATCCAGCAGGCACATTAAGACTACACAGCCTGTCCATTACAAACGTACATCACTTTCTATCTGTTTCTACTATAGCTTTATAATAAGTCTTGGTATTTCAAGGGTGCAAATGTCTCCATCTTATTATAGTTCAAAATTGTCTTAGCTACTTTTGTTCCTCTTCTTTTTCAGATGAATTTAGTATTAAGCTATTAAGTTCCATGAAAAAAAATCTATTGGGATTTTGAATGGAACTGCACTAAATGTATAGCTTGATTTGAGGAGAACAGATATTTTTAAAATATTGCATCTTCCCATCTGTGATCTGTTAGTCAGGTCCTTTATGCCTTTGGATCATGTTTCGTCATTTTCTCTGTAAGGAATTCTCACCTCCTCT